AATTATCCGGCAGATACAATAGTCTTCGTTAGGCGTAACATCGACGAAAATTCAACGCGAAGCGACACGCAACGGAGAAAAATTTCAACATGCGATAGGTTAATATATTTTTTCACACATAATTGGTTATCCGAAAAATCAATTTTTCGAACAACCCCAGTCCCCAATTGATTCGGATAATCGACGCTCTACTGTATTTTATAAAATATTACATTTTCTCTGTTTTAAGTAAAAGAATAATTTTTGATTGTTTTCAAAACATTTAAAATTTTATAACACTGCTTTAAGAACTTTAACTTCAGAGGAATAAAATGTAGATGTTGCATTAAGATATAAGCCAAATCAAAAAGAATTATTAACTAATACATGAATTATGTTGCTAACATATAATAAAATATGAATCAATGAATAAAAGAAAACATTATTATGAACAAAGATAGTAACCTTTATCTTAAAGCAAAGATTTAAAAAAGAAAAAATAATATATTTTAAATAGACATTTATTGAAAACTATTTTCTAAAGAATTATTTTAACATGAAGAATTATTTCATATAAATAATTTTACACACAATTTATTCACAAAATATTTTCGCTTAATTAACATTATGGAAAATATTTTTCTTGCTTATGCAGTATAATAAGCAAGAAAAATATAAAAGCTTGTGCTATTATATTTTTTTGAAATTTTAGCCAGTAGAAGTTTCAAAAGAAATAATAACTATAAACAGTGAAATCCCAATTGAACTAAAGAAACTAAGTACAAGAAAAAAGCTATCAGGGGCCATCCATATATTACATCATCATTACTTGGGGGAAGGGCAGTTCATGAAAATCACTACTTTACATGTATTTTCATAGATATTGTACTTTAGATGATTTAACAAAAGAACTACAAAATCTTTCGTTTGACATTAAAAGAGAATAGCATATTTGTGTTTAATGTCACATTCTTCCTCACAGCTGATAACATACTCATTTTGTCACAGGAGACAAGGTGAAGGAGCCAATTGAACTAATATTTTCCTTATTATATAAGGCATGTTTTTTAAGTAAGCATCGTTTTAAAATAGGATCGCTGCAGTGCTACGGTTGGTGTTCCGCGAATGTGCACTGAATACTTACATCTGTTAGCTAGCCACAGATGCAATTACAGAAGCATTTGTTTGTTTTACGTTTGTTTGTGTGTGTTTAAAATGCCTCAGACATTTGAAAATCCCACTGATTGAGAAGTATGCGCAATGATTCATTTTTTTAATGCAAAAGACATGAAAGCAGCTGACATTCATCGGCAAATTAGTGAGGTGTATGAAAAAAACATTGTGAGTGATGGAATAGTAAGAAAATTGGTTAGAGCATTTAAAGATAGCGGTACTAATGTCTATGACGAGGAGCGTAGTGGGCGACCGTCTGTTGTTACTGAAGACTTAGTGCAGAAAGTTATTGCAAAAGTTCGAGAAAACAGATGCTTTACGATTTTGTCATCCAAAACAAAAGGCATGGCAAGCTCAGTAAGGGGATTGTTTTGCTTCATGACAATGCCCATCCACATGTGGCTCAACGAACTTTAAATCTTATCACATCTTATGGCTGGGAACAACTTGATCACCCTACGTATAGCCCTGATCTAGCGACTAGTGACTACCACTTGAAAAAGGCATCTAGGCAGTCAGCGCTATGATGACAATGTCAAAACACCATGCTGCAGTGGTTGGCAAATCAGGCGGCAGGTATCTATGAGGATGGAATTCAGAAGTTAGTTGTACAATATGAAAAGTGCCTTCATATTGGAGGATATTACGTTGAAAAATAGATTAAAGTACAGACTTTCATGTAAGAATAAAATTATTTTAAAAAATGCAGTTGTGTTTTTTTAATATCAAAATGGTACTTACTTAAAAATGCCTTGTATATATTGCTCAACTATTCACAGAGCTAGTCTTTTTCAGACAGAGATCCAAGTACAAATGATTTTTACAGGGTAAGAAAAAATTGCTCAACAATAAAAAGCTTAATTAACATATTTTCACTAAAAAATTAACAAAATGAAAACTAAACAAAAATTACATTTTAGAAGACTCCTTATCTTTGTAAAATTTACATTTAATATTTCCAATATTGTATTTCAATTATATACCCATTTATCTCTAAGGAGCCAGAAGCTGTTTGGCTCTTCCTATAACAGTTTAAATGGGCCAGGTCCTCAAAGTAGAAGAATCAATTTGAAATGCTTTTCTGATTAATTTGGTGTTCAGGAAGTCTGCCGAAATTTCAGGGTTGATAACATACACTGTCAAGATGGTGGTGTGCCTATTATTTTTAATGTCCAATTGATGCTCGTGTAACCATTTTTGTGTTGAGTGCACGATAGAACCGATATAAAGTAAGTTTCTTTGGAATCTATTGTCCCTGATGGGAATGGAGTATATTCCTGGGACTCTGTTGAGATCTATTGCGTCTTTAGTGTTGCACAGCAGTCCGTTAAGAATGATAGGCGCATGTTCGTCTGGTTCAACCAACATTTGGACTCTCTATACAGGGAGACCAAGCTAGCCATGATCACACAAAGATCGCATACAGGAGGACTGGCACTATTTACAACCTGCTGTGCAATACTATAGATACGATAGATCTCAACAGAGCCCCAGGGGTATAGTCCATTCCCATGAAGGATGATAGATTCCAAAGAAACTTAGTTTGTATCAGTTCTACCATGCGCTCAAAACAAAAATGGTTACTCGAGCATCAATCGGACATTAAAAATAACAGGCACACCATCATCTTCATGGCATACGTTAGCGACCCTGAAATTCAGGCGGACTTCCCAAACACCAAATTAATCAGACAGGCATTTCAAATTGATCACATCTGCCACCTGGAGATCTATAAAGCCAATGTTGGGGGAACCTGTATCAACTTTAAAGACGGAGAGACGATTGTGCAGCATGGAGATACATATTTGAGGAATTTGAACGGGAACAAGCGGAGGGGTGAAACGTGATACCCGCAATATTTACAAGTCAGACAACATCGTTCTAACAGTCTAGGGGAGACAATGCTTAGTCAGCATCTGAAGAAGATCTCGGTGGAGGTCGAAAATGTTAGTGGATAATGTAACGAACACAACACTGATAAAGGTTTTTTGTGGACAGTTATTACTCCTCCAATACATTACATGTCACTATCCTCATATCAAAGTTCAATTTTAATTTCTTTATTTTTTACAGAATTGTATATTGGAGAAATACCATCTCTGAAAATGTGCAGCCCAAGCATATGTTTGCTTTGCCAGTGCCTAGAGCCATTTACTTTATAATAACTATAGACAACCCCTATCATTAGTGCAAAAATTATTTATCAATTGTCAACATGCATATTTTATATATATTATATACTTATTTGAAGAGAGTAAAAAACAATGCATATTGTATGTATTAATATAAACTAGTCTCACACTATGAGCACAACAGAACAATAATTAATAGTTCTATTTTAATAGACAAAAATGTTAAATCACAAATTGACAGATTTGGATATAAGTATTAGGTGATATTGAGAACATGTGAGATAAGTAAGATAGTTATTATTGCACACACAACCATCAGTAGTAACTTACATCTGCAACTATCTACCACAATTAGGGGTTAAGGATTAATCACATAACCTTCCTTGGATAAAAGCAAAGAAAACCTCAAAAGAAGATGCCAATCAAGAGACAATATGAAAATATTGTAGATCATAGTTTTACTGTTGTTTTTTATCAGGGATACTTAAAGTTTTTTATGTAATATTTTTAGATTTCTTTTTGTTACATTAGCAAATATTTTTAATCAATTCCTGGATAATATTGACTTATTCTCATCCAGGTATTCATAGCTGTTGGACACAATGAAATATAGCCATTTTCACTATTTGTGTTAAGATGTTGTATTGTGTATTTTAGTTTATTTTTGCTACTACTATTATTATTTTGTATTTTTTCTATTTTCAATGTGCAGAGTTCATTAGTGTGAAAAAATACTGTGTAGTTCTGAACAAAAACTTATAAATCAATATTGTTTTATACTACTGCAGTGAACTGGTTAAATTATTTGAATCCTACCACTGGACTTGTTCAAACTTGATATCTTACGTATATAATGTAAATGATATAAAAAATTGTATATATTAATATAGCAATTTAGAAATAGATAAAACTTCAAATTGATTATATGTATTTTATTAATAAAAAGTATTTGTGCTGATTATGATGATGCAATATATGAACATTCCTTTATTAATTTATAAAAACATTAAAAATTTTGTATTAAATGCTTTCTAAAAAGATTTCTGTTTCTAGAATGTTTTATAAATTGAAAACATTCTAGAAACACTATAAATTGGCAAAAGTAAAAATAATTCCATACTAATTCTGTGTCTTACACGTTTAGTTTGTTATAGAACTTAAATTTAAAATTTATCTGTACTAGAATAATTTGTAAGCTAGATCAAATTATTTGAATTTTTCTTCATCTTGGACAACTGCTTCCTATATATATTGCGTATACACATTTTCTATTATTGAAGGTTTCTAGGAAATTCTTATAAGTTTGCTATAAGAATAACTTTTCCAAATCTATATCATTAAAATTTATTGCCTGGTAGACATCTATTTTTGAATATTTTTTTAGAATTCCTTCACAGTATTTGTCATCACTTCTTTAATTTCTTATGCAATAAGAAATTAAAGAAATGATGACAAATAGTGAATGACAATGACAAATGATAAACTAGTGAAGAATAATAAATGTATATTCATGATTATTCTTAGTTATTTCAAATTTAATTTCTAACGTTTAATAAATCAATCAAATAAATTGTTTTAATCATTAAAATGTTGTCTGTTATTTTTTGTTGAAAATAACATATTTGCAGAGCTACCGAGGGTTCTTTTGGTGCATGAATGAGATCCCCTAACTAGAAGAGTGAAAATTATCCTGAAAGATTGAAATTACTATTTTATATAAATATGGCCCAAGTTACATATTAATAGACTACAGTTGGTCATAATACAACTTGATAGATTTTTTTTTAAATTAATTCACTTAAGAACAAGTTTCATTACACATTTTCTTTATTATCTTGCAAACTAACTACTGTATATAATTCAGTATTGTATTAATAAAGTAAGCCAACACAACAAATGAGCAATTTGGCATTTGAGATACTTCCCAGAGGGACTTTCTATGAAAAACTAGTTCCTATTTAGGTATTAGACACTGAATAAAACTAGAAAAATCTACTGGTCAGGTGTGAACCCATGACCAGTGAACCAGTGTTCAGTTTTTACTTATACTCTGCTGCTGGTTATTACACTTAGAATGCAGTGGCGTGTCTTCATTAGAAGCAGTGGAAGCGCCACTTCCCTTGTATTTTATAAAAAATAAATATATATTAATTTTAATTATATGAAAATAATTGCACAATATGTTATTATAACTGCATTATATATCTTATTACAAATTTCTATACTACACGTGAAAAAAAAAAAAAGATTGCTATTGTATATTCGAATATTAGTGGCGGAGTGGAATCTCTGTATCTCTGTATTGTCAGATTCCAAAAAGCCAGATTTTCGCACGCAGTTTACAGAGCACCAACCTCATCCAGTTTAGCCGGTGGAAGCCTACAACCTTGAGTCGATGCTACACGTATAACGCTTCCAATTCTATCCAGGGCCGGTTCCGGGCTGTTAGCCGCCCGCCTGCTAGATATTTGGCCGATTACGTGAATAACGAGTAGATTTATAACTTAACCCAACCGATAAGAATTTACTGGTATGTTTTTACGATAGTTCTGTATAGTTGACAGGAGTTAAAAAAATCCATTAAAATATTTGATATATTTATTCCGCTCTCCGATTTTATATTACTCACGGATTTCAATGTTAAACCAGTGATATTACGATTTCGTATATCCCATCTTTAAGGGGATGTAGAAAAAAACGTGTA